CGGGCATCGGGTCACCAGGTACGACAGCGGGCACCGGGTCATCAGGTACCGGATCGTCTGGCTCGACAGCGGGCATCGGGTCACCAGGCATGACAGCGGGCACTGGGTCATCAGGCATTGGATCGTCTGGCTCGACAGCGGGCATCGGGTCACTAAGGATGACAGCGGGCACCGGGTCATCGGGTACCGGATCGTCTGGATCGACAGCGGGCACCGGGTCATCTGGCGTTGGATCGTCTGGCTCGACAGCGGGCATCGAGTCACCAGGCATGACAGCGGGCACTGGGTCATCAGGTACTGGATCGACAGCCCGCACCGGGTCATCAGGCATTGGATCGTCTGGCTCGACAGCGGGCATCGGGTCACTAAGGATGACAGCGGGCACCGGGGCAATCAGGTACCGGATCGTCTGGATCGACAGCGGGCACCGGGTCATCAGGCATTGGATCGTCTGGCTCGACAGCGGGTATCGGGTCACCAGGCATGACGCGCGGGCACTGGGTCATCAGGCGTGATAGGATCATCAGGCTGGATCAGTTCATCAGGCTGGATCAGTTCATCAGGCATCAGGCTGGATCAGTTCATCAGGGGTACAGACATCAGGCTGGGTACAGACATCAGGCTGGGTACAGACATCAGGCTGAAGTGCGGGTGCCGAGGCACCAGGCTGAACCACGGAAGGCAGGTTCTCAGACGGCAGGCTCACCGGTTTGGATACTGGCAGGATGGTATTGGTTGGGAAGAATTTTCGCTTTTTTCTGGTTTTAGTTACCGGAGCACTGTAAGCGCAGGTTTGTAAACGGATGGAGCAGCTGAAGACAGAGAAGAGCTGGAGGATGGAACAGAGGAGGGAGCAGTTGCTACAGAGGACTTCTTTACAGGGTTAAAGGCAGGATAGGTGCAGCGAGTGGGAGCAGAGGACTGATATGTGGTAGTTAGCAGAGTATACTGGGCCGTCACTGGGGGTGCTGTCGGGGATGCAGGAAGAGTGCCTTGAGCAGAGGAAGATGTTGCAAGCTGACTGAGGCTGGGTGCAACAAGTCTGACCATGTCTGCAGTATGGGTTGAACAAAGCTCAGCTTACACAAAGCCTGTCTGGTCAAAGACTGCACTGCGTTTATATACAATCTCTTAGTACCTGTGGTGAACATGCAGAATAACGCTCCAGAAAGTAATCCACATCATCCTCTAATGACCATACCAGGGACTCTACCTGGTCGGCACTAAATGGCGGCAAAAAGTCATTCCTGCTTTCAGGGGCACCAGATGAAGCCAACTCAGCACAAACCTGAATCAATGGCTGCACCTCAGAGAATTCTGTGCCCTGATCTACTAGAACATGAGCGATCCGTATACATTCTAGCAGTTGATCCCGGGGATACTCCTTCAGAGTCTGATAAGCATACTCTCTGTCATCAAACACTAGCAGAGATAAATACACAACCTCATCAAGATCCATCCTTCCCAGCAACAAGCCAAGATGGCTTCCCTGTGAGCCACTTCTGGTCAGGATTGGCCTTGGTGTAATGTCAGGGCTCCAGGGTGTGACCAGAGGTATGTGAACTGACGCAGGGAAACGCAGGCTTCAGATAAGTTATAAACAATATAATTTATTAAAGACTAACAATACAAACATAAACGCAGTGCACCAAACCCCAAGCTAACACAAATACATACAATAAGGTGAAACAAACCCAAACCTAAACTGATACAGATACACAGGTACATACACATATAGAGCACAACGTAATCAGGCAGGCCGGGTCGATAACTATCGGGCAGGTAGGTACAGGAGGAGCAGGCGGAGAGAATGGTCAGGGTCACAAGCCAGGGATCAAAACAGGAGAAGTCAGCAGAGGTCAGGATCAGACCGGGTCGCAACAAGTCAGGCAGAGGCAGGAACAGGAACACAGGATACAGGGGCCCATGGAAAAACACACCAAGGCCCAGACTGCAGGTCTGGCCATCCCTTAAATACACCTGCATAATCAGCTTCAGGTGTTTGGCTGGCTGCAGGGTTGAGTCTCTGATTGCTGAGAGCACCCGCTGGCCAGCCCTGGTACTGCAGCCCACAAGGCAGGTGAGTCCCACCGTTACTGGCAAGTCCATTCCTGACAGGTTGTCAGAGGAGTACCTTTCATGGTTATCTCATCCAAAATAGATCCGTTGGGTCGTTATATATTTCTGTTATACAATTGGGACTCTCATTTATGTGTTCTTGCAAATATGTATGTACCTCCACCATTTCATATGGAGACGGTGAGATGTCTGTTTCAATTTATAGCCACCCATCCACAAACACCATTATTGGTAATGGGGGACATTAACACAGTTTTGGATACTTCCTTAGATCTCTTAAAAAATTATCCCCACTTGGCCCTAGAAAATCTCTCCTTTTGAACGCCATATGAAGGAAATTGGACTCCGGGACTTATGGCGATCCCTCCACCCACTAGATGCTCAAATTTAATGTCACTCCTCGCTATCCCATATAGATTTGGCATTGGGTTCCGATCTGATTCTACCATATACACCTCAGGTGACCTCTTTAGCAGGAGCCTATCTGATCATTCCCAATGCGTATATCCTTGTCCCTGAAAAGGTCCTCTACATTTACATTGGGGAAGCTCAATCCATTCTGGATAACTCTCTTCACTGACTTAAAACATAAACAATTACAGGGCTTTCTACTTGGATACAGACATTCAACATCTCCTATGATTGTTTGGGATGCTTTGAAAGCATATATTAGAGGCACGTATATCAAAGACATTTCCAGAATGAAGACTAACTCCAGACAATGGGAGGTTGAGGCCGGCCAATCTGTAACTAAGGCAGAACAAGCCTATCTTAGCAATACCAACCCTGATACAGAGAGGGGGTGCTTGCAGCAACAACAGTTTCTGCGCACTGTCAAACTTCAGCATGCTGAAAATAAACATTTTTTTTCTTCTCAAACCTTGAGGAGGGGGAAAAGACAGGTCATATTCTCACAATCATTGCAAAAGCTCAGTGACCATCTTGTCATATCTCTTCTTCAAAACTGTCTTCGACTCAATTGGTCACATATACCCCCTCCATCTTACAAGGCTTTAGATCTTTTCATGAAACGCTCTACTCTCCCAAAGTGTCTTCTGATGACTCTAGTATGTGGGAATTTTTAACACTTCCTCAACTTACTATTCAACAAAGGCAAAAGCTTAATGCACCACTCACTCCTGAAGACTTGCAGATGGCTGGAGCTTCATACCCCAATTCCAAGGCTCCCGGTGTAGATGGGCTGCTGATGGAAATTTACAAATAATTGGGGGAATACTTCTACCTGAACTACTTAAAATACTCCAGGTGGCATTGGAACAGAACTCCCTCCCCATGTATGAGGCAATAATAGTCGTACTTGAAGCCGGGGAGGGACCCAACCTTAGCAGAATCCTACCGGCCCATATCGCTATTGACCTCAGACCTCATAATTATTACTGAAGTACTGGTGACCAGACTGACTAGGGTTATCTCTACACTTATTCACCCGGATCAGTCGGGTTTCATTCAGATCTACAGCAATCAATAGTCATAGGCTTTATCTTAACCTTCAAATCCCTTCTGATAATATGGGTGATGGCGATTTTGTCTCCCGATGCTCCTAAGGTGTTTGGCTGTGTAGAATGGAGATACCTTTGGCAAGTCCTTGTGAAATGTAACCCTGGGGGACACTTTCATTTCGTGGATTGAATTATTCTATCGTGCCCGCATTCGGGTTAACAATGCCCTGTCCATCTCATTCACACTAGGCAGAGGGACACGGCAAGGGCTGTCCTCTCTCCCCGCTGTTATTCGCTATAGTGATAGAACCTCTGGTGGCTGCCATTGGAGAGGGTCCGGGTTTATGGTTTTTGTAGAGGAGAGCAGATGGAGAAAGTAGCGTTCTATGACGATGACACCCTTCTGTTTTTGGGTGATACATTTGCGTGTCATTGACACACCTAATGACATTAATCAGTGAATTTGGCTCCTTCTCCGGCTTCTCAATAAATTGGGATAAGTCCACCCTTCTCCCACTGGACACACCCTTACACATCCCATACCACCTGAAGCTGCGCAGATTGAAATAGTGGCCTCCTTTATATATATCTGGGTATTATCATTCACCCCACTCTATCGAAATATACAGATCTAAACTGACTTCCTCTCATTAAAACATTTCAACAGAAAACAACTAGCTGGACTAAACTCCCTCGATCCGTGGTAGGGAGGTGTAACTTCATCAGAATGATCTGGGCCCCTCAATGACTTTATATTCTGCACAACATCCCTGTTTGGATTCCTATACGGATCTTTAGAAGATTTGATATGGTGTTTGGCTCCTTAATCTGGTGGATGCCACGCCTCGGATTGAAACTAGAAACTCTACAGGAGGCTAAGATATGGGAGGCCCTGAGGTTCCCAATCCTTCTCTTTATTATATTGTGGCCCAGTTACAACACTTTCCAGCCTGGCAGGACAATCCACACCCAGACCCGGTCAGGTCACTTCTTCTAGGGATTGTGTCCACAGATCATTTAGTGGAATGCCTGGAAGCAGGTGAGTTCAAAGCCCTAGCACAGTTCCCCACTCTAGCACTGATTGACAGAATTTGCAGCAAGGCCAAATATTATTTCCAATCTCAAGGTTCCAATCTCACACGTATCCTTAATAACCAGAACTACCCGGAGCTTCTTAACCATTTCCATACCGGCACTTTTACCCCCTTCCTGCCCAGGCCAATTTTCAGGTTTCAGCGCTCTCACACTTTGAATGACAATTGCGCGGTCATACAACATTGTACCCAAACTAAAATATTATCATTTTCTTCACATAACTAGAGCTTTCTTTTGGTGGTATTTAATCACCGCTGGGGTTTTTAATTTTTGCTAAATTAACAAAAAAAGACTGAAAATTTTGAAAAAAAAACATGTTTTTTTGTTTATGTTATAAAAGTTTGCAAATAAATAATTGTTCTTCATAAATTTAGGCCGCGATGTATTCTGCTACATGTCTTTGGTGAAAATAACCCAAATTAGTATTTATGATTTATTCTGTAGGGAAGTTATAGAGTTCACAAACTATGGGAGATATCTGAAAATTGATCAATCCTGAAGTACTGACAGCCAATCTATTTTCTTGAGGTCCAAGAATATCAGAAGTCAGGACGGTACAGATATCCCCCAAATGTCAGGACGGTACAGATATCCCCCAAATGTCAGGACGGTACAGATATCCCCCAAATGTCAGGAGAGTCAGATATCCCCCAAATGTCAGGACGGGACAGATATCCCCCAAATGTCAGGAACAGATATCCCCCAAATGTCAGGAGAGTACAGATATCCCCCAAATGTCAGGACGGTACAGATATCCCCCAAATGTCAGTCAGATATCCCCCAAATGTCGGACAGATATCCCCCAAATGTCAGGACGGTACAGATATCCCCCAAATGTCAGGACGGTACAGATATCCCCCAAATGTCAGGACGGTACAGATATCCCCCAAATGTCAGGACGGTACAGATATCCCCCAAATGTCAGGACGACAGTACAGATATCCCCCAAATGTCAGGAGAGTACAGATATCCCCCAAATGTCAGGACGTACAGATATCCCCCAAATGTCAGGAGGGATACCCCCAAATATCCCCCAAATGTCAGGACGTACAGATATCCCCCCCAAATGTCAGGACGGTACAGATATCCCCCAAATGTCAGGACGGTACAGATATCCCCCAAATGTCAGGACGGTAGGACAGATATCCCCCAAATGTCAGGACGGTACAGATATCCCCCAAATGTCAGGACGGTACAGATATCCCCCAAATGTCAGGACGGTACAGATATCCCCCAAATGTCAGGACGGTACAGATATCAGGACGGTACAGATATCCCCCAAATGTCAGGACGGTACCCCAAATGTCCCCCAAATGTCAGAACGGTACAGATATCAAATGTCAGATATCCCCCAAATGTCAGGACAGTACAGATATCCCCAAATGACCCCTTTTTGCAGAGTAGACAACATATTTCATAAGAGGCATGACGAGTTTTTTGAAGTTGTATTTTTTTGTCAGAATTTCACGAATGAAGCCATCCATTGTATATAACTGTCAAGTGAAGTGCTGTGATTGGTTCCAGCAGGTCCACATGGTAACCACAGCACTGGGGCTCAGAAAATGAAAAAATTAAAAAAAATTATTTTCACTATTTTTTTTTACATCCTGTCACCAGTGCAGTACAGCGTCATCATCATATAACTGGCATGGCGGTGATCAGGGAACTGACTGGGTGACAGTATGAAAAAAAAAATATATATATTTTTTTTTTATTAGTTTTAATTTTTTATTACATTTTTTTTTCCTTTTTTTATATTTTTTTTTTCTTATTTCACTATGTCCAAAGTAGTATAATGTTAGCATAGTAACATTGTACTACTTTGGGGAAGTGATCAGTATTTTGTTTTTTGGTATTTTTTTTTTTTTTTACACAATTTGCTTATAGCAAATAATTACTTTGCTATAAGCCAGCATTTACCTGAATGACATCGATTCATTCAGGGTTTTTTTTTTTGTGCTTAGCTGTGATTTGGCCACAGCTAATCACATGACATGTGCATGTGATCGCTCTGACCATTCACAGCTAGACACTAGTATACAAATGGATGGCACGAATGAAGCCATCCATTTGTATATAACTGTCATGTGAAGTGCTGTGATTGGTCACAGCAGGTCACATGGTACCAGCAACTGGGGCTGGTACACAGATCTGTCATCGGCAATGTTCGAGGTACACGGCCTGTGACAGATAGCTCCGCTGTGCGCTCTGCAAGTGCAAAAACTGTGCATGTGTGGGAGGACGCCATATGGCTTCCACCTGGAAATCTACAGCCTTTTCCTGGCCACCAAACAGCTATTGGCCGGATGGCTATTGGTTAAAAATGGCATGGGGGTCCCCCCAAAATCCATACCAGACCCTTATCTGAGTATGCAGCCCGGCAGGTCAGGAAAGGGGTGGTGAGCGTCCCCCTTCCTGAACCATACCAGGATACATGCCCTCAGCATGGAGGGGTGCCTTGGGCCAGGAGCCCCCCAAAGCACCTTGTCCACATATTGATGGGGACAAGGGCCTCTTTCCGACATCCGTAGCCTGTGGTTGTGGGGGTCTGTAGCCTGGGGGGCTTATTGGAATCTGGAAGCCCCCTTTAACAAGGGGGCCCCAAGATCCCGGCCTCCTATGTGAATGAGTAGGCAGTATATGGTACCGCTACCCATTCACAAAAAAAAGTGTAGTGTAAAAAGTGATAGGAGTCAGTCTTTGACAAGTCCTTTATTAAAAAAAACATTTTAAAAAAATGTCCCCCAAAGTAGCTCCAACATCAATCCCGATCCTGACACCATCGCTACCCAAAAAAGGGGAAAAAAGCTCTGCTTGTGATGCTGGCTTCCGGCTGTCTGACAGCTGGGGCCGTGAAAACAGTTTTTATATACCCCGCCCCCCTTGTGACATCACCACGCACTGTGATTGGTCAAAGTATTACACCTGACTTGTGGTTAGGTGCATTGCTTTGTCCAATCACAATGCATTTGTCAGGGCGCAGTGCATTGTGGGGCATGTTCTTTTTGTTATTAATAGACTCCAATGGGAAATATCTAAACACCAAACGGCTCTTCCCAGGAACAAGAGACAACAAAATTCAAGTCCAACAACTGAACAAGCGACAGGAGTCATCAATGATCCGTATTTCACCACCCCCCCAAACATATCATATCATCATACACACCGACCCAAACATATCATCATACACACCGACACACCGACCCAAACATATCATCATACACACCGACCCAAACATATCATCATACACACCGACCCAAACATATCATCATACACACCGACCATCATACACACCGACCCAAACATATCATCATACACACCGACCCAAACATATCATCATACACACCGACCCAAACATATCATCATACACACCGACCCAAACATATCATCATACACACCGACCCAAACATACATCATACACACCCAAACATACATACACACCGACCCCAGACATATCATATCATATCATCACACCGACCCAAACATATCATCATACACCCAAACCGACCCAAACATCATCATACAAACCCAAACATATCATCACCGACCCAAACATCATCATACACACATACACACCCAAACATATCATACACACATACAAACATATCATCATACACACCATCACCCAAACATATCATCATACATCACACGACCCAAACATATCATCATACACACCGACCCAAACATATCATCATACACACCCCAAACCATACACACACATATCAACCGACCCAAACATATCATCATACACACACCGACCGACCCAAACATCCTCCAGGGACAAAAGGAAACCTCTGAGAATAAACTATTACAACTAACAGAGACCGCACAACAAAAATGTCCTCACTCCAACATCATCATACTGTCCTCCCTAATTCCAAGGATGGACATAACAAACAATAGAAAACTCAGCGAATCAACACAGAGCTGGCAGATAAAACCAGGTCAGAGCCTACCATTCACCTGACACAACATCATTCCATCATGACCCAACACCTCTATGACTACAAACACCTCAACTAACAAGGGGGCAGTCAACTAGCAAGAGAACCCAAAGACATTGTACTGAATGGAACCCACAACCCGGGATCTGGCACAAACCATCTCAGATGGACACAATGGGGCTGATTTACTAAAACTGGAGTGTGCAAAATCTGGGGCAGCTGTGCATGGGAGCCAATCAGGTTCTGACTTCAGCTTGTTCAATTAAGCTTTGACCATAAACCTGGAAGCTGATTGGTTCCCATGCAGAGCTGCACCAGACTTTGCACTCTCCAGTGTCTCATTGTCATCACATGCTGTGTCCATAATGACCACCCATCCCCCCTTATCAGCTGGCTTCAATGTTATATCTCCCCTTGCTGCTAATGATGGCAATGCACCTTTCTCCTCAATGGTCCCATTATTAGGATATGACCCCAGAGTTCCTGATCATAGACTGTCATACGTCACCATCTTTATCATCCAAATGAAGGAACATTTCTGCTGCTGCATATGTAGTGGGTGGTGGAAACTTCCATTTTGTCTGCAAACCTCAGACAGACCTACTCAGTGATGTGACTACAGATGATCCCTCAATATCGCCTCTCCAAGAATAATGTCCCTTCAATCTAATATTCCTAAAACATCTATACAAGTCCTGTGCCAACAAAAACTTCTTCATGATACCTTTAGGGCTAAAGCCCAAACCTTTCCCCAGAAGGTCCATCTTCCCCGATGTCAGTCCAGCTGAGGAGAAGGTGACAATTCCGTCTATTTCTGTTGATGATGAATCATCTGTTGGGGTTGGTTGGATGAGTGGGAGATCCCTTGTTGCAGCGTTGATGTTTCCTACCTCCCCTGTGGCCGGATCTCTGCTGTTTCCTTGATTCCGATGTACAATACGAGGTGGGTGTTGTCCCTCTATAGATCCTAATAAAGTGCCTCCAGCAGAGGAGGGAAGTGATGGGTCAGAGGCTGTAGAAGAAGCTCTAGTGAGCAGTCTAGATGGACGAGGTGAGTCTTGTGTAGGTGGTGCTCCAAGAGTACGCCTGATTAGTAGACGTTTAGATTGGACTCCTTCAGCTGCTCGGCTGACAATGCAGACTGCAGTGTAGACTCCACCTGTGTGATCTGTACAGCCAGAACAGGTTCTTCCTTCTGGAGAAATTAAACTCCGAGAACAATGGAGCTCTTGTTTAGGACTTGTGTAAACAGACCACTCCTCCCTGTCCGCAAAAACAGACCACTGGACTCCTCCCTGTCCGCAAACAGACCACTGGACTCCTCCCTGTCCGTAACAGACCACTGGACTCCTCCCTGTCCGTCAAAAACAGACCACTGGACTCCCTGTCCAGACCACTGGACTCCCGTCCTGCAAACAGACCACTGGACTCCTCCCTGTGGACTCCTCCCTGTCTGCAAACAGACCACTGGACTCCTCCCTCCCAGACCACTGGACTCCTCCCTGTCAAACAGACCACTGGACTCCTCCCTGTCCGCAAACAGACCACTGGACTCCTCCCTGTCCGCAAACAGACCACTGGACTCCTCCCTGTCCGCAAACAGAAGCTCCTGTCCGCAAACTAAGCTGGGGCCAGTTTACCTCCTAGCCCCCTCAGAATACGCCGTGCTTTCTAATATTCAGCTAAAGTTATATTTTTACATAGACAAGACAGTTGTTTTTTTAGGAACTTCTCAGGACTTTGATCTGGTGTCATTTACCCAACAAACCCTTCCCCTCCTCCACTAAGAACTCCC